GAGATCTTTCCACATTTGGCAATGCCAAAATACTTCCAATTTAGGATTCTGTAACTCTATCTCCTTGTATAAGATCGATTATCTTAAGTATAAAAAGACTTAAGAAAATCTTTTGTTGTCAATAATATTTAGAATCTGTACTGCATAGTGGACTAATTTTTTATTTTTAATGACTCTTCAGGTAGAGTTCCTTTGGAGTTGAGTAAAGAATAGTGTTTCTCGATTTCAAATCAGACCACTCTCTTGCTCTTGAACATCTCATTGGCTTTGTTGAGTATGTCCATGAAAAAGTGTACAAGCAGCTTGCTTCTCAACCAACTCCAGATCTGCTCTAGCATAACCTCACATAAGCAGCTAACAGGCTTTCAGTACGATTATTCCATTTTAAATCACTAACCGCAGCCATCTCTTGTTACTGAGAGGTAAGTTAAGAATAACATCTGATTGCATATGTTAATATAAAACTCTGGACAACATTAATTCATTCAATTAATGTTAATTAATGTCCGTGGACAGAAATCATTTATGGATTTATTTGTATGCTTTAATATAGTCTATACATGCATCTTGATTGGTAGTATTATATCTCGTTGCTGAAAACGAAAATGTGATTTTTTTTAGAAAAATTAAAGCTCAAATGCTATAGAATAGGACCTGGTCTCAGTTATAACCTTCTTTCTCCTCCTTGCTTTTTTAATTAAAAAAAAAAATTAAAAGACTTCCAGCCAAGTAATTTGACTTAAGGTTCAGAATAATTACCATGTTTTTCCACCATGGTAAATACAAGATTGTCTGTCTTCACATACATGATGTGGACTAGCTAATTACTATCAGAAAAAAAAATGACTCAACAATAACAAAAATCTCAATTGCTGAGATAAAGAGTTCTTTTCCATTTAATATGATGCAGAAGGCTAGGGTCTCATCCAAGCAGCTGATAAATGTGTTTCCAAGGTTTATGTTTTGTTTTAAAGGAGGGAAAAAAAATGTGTCCCTGCTGCTGGACTCGCCTCCTTCCTGTTTAAATCTTCAGGGTCATGTTAATTCCTGGGCCAAATCTAATTTGAAACAATAATTACCTAAGATGTCCCTTCTTCATCATTCTGAGGGGCTTGGGGACAAACTCACCCATGTATTATAGTTTATTCGCTCACTAATATTTTTTGAGTGCCTAGCAGGGACCACACCCAGTGATAACTTGGGACGATTCCTGCCTTCACAGAGCTTGCCTTGTGGTCCTGGTTCCTCTCTTTCAGAGCACAGTGTTCCCAAGACAGCCCATCAGACTCCTGGGCACTCCCTAAGCTATAGGGCCCCTAGGGTGGCATCCTGCTTGGCACGAGGCTCTCGCTGCTCTGACCATCTTCTGCCCTGGGACAACAGTGACCTGTTCTCCAGTTTCCAACATGTGTCTAGCCCTGAGCAGGACCCCAGTTTCTGGTCTGAACGGAGACTCTAATTTGGCCAAGCCAGTCTTTACTGGAGACTGCAAGTCTGCGCTGGGCCCCTTCCTGGTAACTGGGATCCTGCTGCAAAGGAAAGACCTGCTCCCCAACAGCTGGGTTTCCAACATCTTGGCTCCTGCACTCCCTCTCTCATACACCGCCCACATCAGGGTGCTAATGCGGTTTCCACAGCTGAGCTGCACTCCAGCCCCTGTTGCCCTTGGCATGCAGGTCTACTGCAGGCTGGGCCCATATGTGGACAATGCCATCACTGCTGGTCATGTCACAAGTCCTTACTGGAGCTAGGACAGGAAGCCTCCAGAGGTGAGGCTTCCTTTGCCTGGGCAGGGACTGTCTCTGGATGCTTACAGGAGAATACCAGCATCGGGGAGACTCTTCTCCACTCTTCTTGACTCTTCATGCAATGGTGTCCTCTTCCCTGGTGTTGGAGTCCTAATCTTTATTCCCTGCCCATTGCCCGAGTCCCAAAGAAGGACATTTCTGTTCCCAATTCAGCCATGCCTAAGCCTATAGGTATCCCTGGCAGCAAATCTAAGATCATCCAGAGTCGGAAAGCTACTGTGCCACATTTTGTTAGAGAGGCATTTGCTTACTTACATACTTACTCATTTCTTCTTTTTTAAGGAGGTTTTTGCCTTAAGGCAAGTGCGTTTGCTGGAGAGAGACAGAGACAGTGAGAGAGAAAGTAAGAAATCACCCTCCAGGGAGGGTGGTCACACCACAATCCCTTCTCCTCCATCTTCCCTCAGGATCTTGGGCACACACACACACGCATCCAGTCTGAGTTTCAAGTCACCAGGTCTGGTACTCAAACTTCAGTTGGCCATGTGGGAATCCAGTGAGTGACTGCTATGCCATCTGCTGGCCCCAACACACTCATTTCTTACATACCAGTAATAGAAATTGACTGTAGGTTAAATAATCAGTCATATCAAATCCCATACCTTATCCGGACTGCTGTGGTTTTCCAACTAGATAAACTCTACCTTGGGTTCCCATCAGCTCAAGGCAGTCTTTCCTGGTGCCAGGACTAGGGGTAACAAAATGCCTTACTTGAATCAGACTGTTCCCACTCCTTGTCTTTTTTTATTTTATTTTTCCCCAAAACTCAGGTTGCTTGAGCTTCCCATGAATGTTTAGTCCTCCTGAGTACCTGGGACCAATCCTTTCTGCACAGGGCAATTGCCTACTCCAACTCTCTGAGATGCAACAAAGTCACTTTTTCATTGATCTCTGTTCCTATCTGGGTGTCTAATGCTCTAGTTCTAGTCTATGGGGCCCCAAAAGTATCATCACACACACACACACACACACACACACACACACACACACACACATCCAGGGAGTGCAGGAAGCCAGGTAAGAAGAATCCTTCTCATGGGAAGCATTGATGGAGCAGGGCTGCTTGGCACAGCACAGCAGTGGGACATCCTGGTGCAGGAGGTGTTTGGAGCAGACAGGTGAGCAAGGCTATGGGGGGAGGGGGTTACCTGCCAATGGGTGAAAGAACCTCAGCTGCCATTACAAATTCATTCATTCATCAAAAAATTTTTGAGAGGTTTTTGCTATAGAGCGCATGCACTCGCCAGAAAGACAGAGAGAGACAGAGAGAGAGAGAAAGCAAGAAATCACCCCCAAGGGGGATGGCCACACCACAATCCCTTCTCCATTCTCCTCTCAGGATCCTGGGCATGCAAGCACATGTGCAAATTTTTATTAAGAATATCCTGGGTGCCAGGCATATTGCTAGGCAGAGCAGGTGTTGTGATCAAGAAGACACAGTTCCTGCCCTCCAGACCCCTTTGAATCCCGAAAGTCCTCCTTTGAATTAATTTGGTTACTCTACGTCCCCTTCTGGGTCTGATGCCTGGCATAGAGATTTTCCAACCACTCATCCATGATTATTATGCATCTAACACGCAGTAAGCAAATATATTTCCACAATAATGTCCAAAGTCTTTGGGGAGAGAACTGGCAAAACTGAGCTATGGGTTCTGAGAAAATCAGACAATGAAGCAGCTAATATCTATCATATCCACATCAGCTCCTGCTTTTGTTGTCATGAGTCTTCCCATCAAAGCAGAGGGACCTACAGCTGTTGCTGCATGGTTTTAGGGCACTGTATTCCACAGAATATAAACATTTCTTTCTTTTTAAGTTTACTTATTTACTTATTCTCAGAGAGAGAGAGAGAGAGAGGCATCCCCACCAGGGTCTTCTTGCCATGCTCCACCCCCAGCCTCAGTGTGCTTGTATCTAGGGAAACCTCAGGACATGAACCCTGTACCTTTCCATAAGACTTCAGCATCACGGTGCACTGTGCTGTTGATACACCATGACTGGCTTCCACAGAACTTTTTTCCTAGGTTCTTGCCAGACTCCCTGCTGTTCTGATTAAGCCAAGTACATATACCATTGTGTCACTAGGCAACATTAGGATAAACTTAAAGTATAAACCCATGTTCTATCAACCACCAAAGTGAGAATGGGATTGTTTTATCTGTAGCTGGATCTGTGCGGATGACAATCTGAGGATTGCTGCAAGCAGGCGTTTCTATAATCCATCCCATGTAGTATGACAACTGCTTCCATTAACTAAATCTCTGTTTAGTTAAAATGACTCCATCTTGATTCCTAGAGATGGAAGGATTGTGGAGGAATGCTCTTTGCTCCTGGGAGCCATATCTGGGCTGCTATACCGTGAATAGTTGCTGCGTTTAGAGACAGGAACAGACATTTAACTAACTCCTAAGTTTTCTGAGAAGTCTTCGGATCCAAAATAGAAAGAGTCCATATGGTGTTTCTAATTAAAGCATGTGAATGTTGACTACATGTTTTAAGTGCATCAGAGTTTGAAATGAAATTCTATTTGTAAATTCTATTTCATATTTAAATTCCCTGCAGCCTTTTCTCTTTCAAGACAGCTGAATCTTTCAACAGAATCTTGGCAAGGCCATGGATTTTCCTCTGTTGTTTCTGCCATGGACAAATATTCAAATACCCATTTAAGCAGAAAATTAGAAGAATGAAATATCTTTGTGTGGTAAATAATGTGGAAAGCTGAAGATGATCATACTTCGTAAGTAGTTTCTTAACTTGTTCTTATCAATTGATATTAGAAACATATTCCCACATCATTAAAACTGTTCACAAACATGAATCACATTTTAGTATTTACTTATTCATTGCCCTATTTTTGACATGAAAGTTGCCTACAAGTTTTTTTAAACTATTATAAATATGCTATAATTAATTTTATATCTGATAATTCTTTTGGAAACACTTGCAGGGATAAAACTGAAAAATAATAGGAACTGAAACTTTTTAACATTTTTGACTAAACAGCCCAATTGTTTTCTAGATCCCTGCCATCAAGTCTGTTACCTGTTTCTTCTCCTTCTGACACCTGTCATCTCCATCTGATCATTTCCAATTTAGTCCTCTGTTATCTTTTCTTTCTGATTCTCTGACTCAGTCAGCTCTTGCGTTGCAAACAGAAATGCTTGATACTGCATGAATTATAAAGGACATAGGCTTACTACATGATGATATCACCCCAACTTGAACTCACTCACTGACGATTTGATGACAATGGAAGATCTGGTATTCACAAGCAAACCCCATAGCCTGTTGGTTAAAAGAGCTAGATTCCACATGGCCAACTACAGTTTGAATCCTGGTCCTGACAGCTTGAAAAATATGCCAGATGAATGACAGGATGGAGAAATACATGAGAAGAGATTGCAGTGTGGCCCTACCTGGGATGCTTTCTCTCCCCCCGCCCCCCCGGCAGGTGCATATACTCTCTGGCTTATAAACCAAAGCAAACAAACAAACAAATCTGATATGAGGCTGGCATCGGGCTGGCTACATCACAACATAGCCAACAGAAACAGAGAGAACGGTAGACATGTGCAAGGAGAGAGACTTGGGAGCAGCTGTCTTCCTTTCAAAACAAGAACTAAGCCTTTATTGAGAGCTAGAACTCTTTTGGAGTTGAATGGATGGCATTCATCCATTCATGAGATCAATGCCTCTGTGATCCAATCTCTGCCTAGGAGGCCTCACCTCTTAAAGGTCTTTCTATCTCCTAATACCATTATACTGGGGAACACATTCCAAAACATAAACATTCAGGGAACAAGCTATTATCTAACAATAGCACCCTCCTTGTGCCTTGTATCCTAGTATATTTTGTAATTTTTCTTTTTAATTGTCAGAGTATGTGTGCACTTGCCAGCAAGAGACAGAAAGAAAGGAAGGAAGGAAGGAAGGAAGGAAGGAAGGAAGAAAGAAAGAAAGAAAGAAAGAAAGAAAGAAAGAAAGAAAGAAAGAAAGAAAGGAAGGAAGGAAAAGAGAAGAGAAGAGAAAAGAAGAGAAAAGAGGGAGAATGCACCCCCAATGGGGTGAGGTCATGTCACAATCCTTTCTCCTCCATTTCTCCATCCTGTCAGGATTTGAGGTATGTACATACACATTCCCAGATTGTTTTTCTAGTTCCCAGGGCCAGGACTAGAACTACAGTCGACCATGTGGCACCTGGCTCTCTTAACCTCAAGACTATGGGACTGACCCCCTATTTTGTCATTTTGATTTATGAGATCATGTTCAGTTAAGTGTTGTTTGGGAATGGTGTGACACTTGAGCTTAGATTCCACCTCCAGAAAGGCTTTGCTCTGGATGCTGCTGAATGCCCCAGGGTGCTCCAACCTAGAACCACTTGAAGTTATTAGTTTGATTTGGCATTTACCGACTTAAACAGGTAGTATAAATTCTGGTCCCCAATCTGCATGAAGGTGGGACTATGATTATAAATTTTTATGAGAGATCTTTTTCCAGCTACGGCCTAGGGGGAAGCAGCTTCCCTGTCTCCCTTAATAACATATCCTACAACCCCCAGATTTACTTTTTACTGAAGAGTCCGCCTTTTGTTTGGGGTTTATGTGACACACCTAGGCAATAGACGCAAGGCCTTGGTGCCAACCCTGGGATGCTGCTTCTTGCCATCTCCATGTGTAACTGCAGATAAAGATTTAGCTCATCTAAAGGGGCTTTGGTGCTCAGGGAAGTGACTTGATGGTCATCTTCTCTCAGAGACATAAGCAGAGTCTATGCCATGGTCAATAAAGGGAAAGCCAGATGACGGCATCCTCTGTCTACATGGAGACTCCAGAACTTCACACAAGGTCCTTGGATACTGATAAAATTCAGGTTGGCTGTGGCTTCAGCACCTGCTTATCACACCAGCACCCAACTCCCTCTGGTTTGGGTGTGAAAGTCCCACACGTATTTAAAATTCCAGCTAGATGTTTAATAGGATGTATCTATTTTTGACTCTCTGATTTGTTGGTGTTCTGCAGAAGACTTTTTCAAGCTACCTTGTCTGCTGTATGGCCAGAAATGGTCCCTTCTACCATGGCTCACCTTCTTACCATTCTCTCTCATTCCCAGAAGTTTGAGAACCCAATTCCCAGCTCACCTCCACCTGAGGGCCCCTTATCATTATGGGTCACATTCGTGTGGTGACCCAGCCAATACTTTAACTTCTTACCTCTCGTCTTTAGTGACCTTTATTTTCACATTCCTTCAGCGACCCACACTATGGGCCTTCCTACCACATCTTCAAAAACAACTTTGAGATTTATTTTTAGTTTTTTTTTTTTTATTATTAATATATCTCCCCAGGAGTGAGAGAGACAGAGAGATGGCACTTCCGATAGGGTCCTAATGCCATTATCCACCCAAGCTTTAGTCATCCCTGGGTCATGGACACTCCTGTACCTGGTGTTTTCAGGGATAGAAACCTGGGACCTTCTTCCCACATGGGTCGCAGAGCATTGTGTTTTACCAGTGCACCACCACTCAGTCCTTTTAAAGAAAATTTTAATTCCATCATGTCACTTTTGGATCACAATTTCTTACATTCGTATTCCATTATTCAGTTACCTCCGACATTTCCAGACTCATGACTTCTCTATTTTGCATGTCAGTCACCTCCTATTCTCCCCTTTCTCCTGAGCCAGGTGACATCTTAGAGTCCATTCTTCACCACTCTCCTCCCCACCTATTGTCCCTACTGCCCTTTAATTGTACCTGTCTGAACAAAAAACCAAAATGCTATGGATCCAACAGTCTGCCTTGTCCACCCCTTTGACTGGGCTCTTGGGGAAGTTCACGCAACCATATAAATTGGGCCTCTAATAATCAAGGTCTATAACTAGTGGCTCTAAACTGCTTTGCAATCCTTTTAAGTTTCCAGTTAATTCTCTCTTCTGTGATATGTGATGATCATTTGAAACCTCTCTCCATAAGCCTTCACCAAAGAATTGTCTTCTTACCTCACAGAAAAAAATGTAAGCCATCAGAGAAGCCCTTTAGCTTTTCTGCCACCAAATTCCAACCCAACGACACTATGGTAGGTAGCCTTTTTCTTTTAAGATGGTCCCTAAGGCCTCCATCTGGAGTCTGAATAAACCTCCTGCTATGAGCCTGGGCTGCACCAAGGGACCCCCTCCTAATGAGCAGAATACAGCAAAAGTGGCAGGATGTCGCTTCTGAGACTAGGTGACAGAAAGACTGGACATTGTGACTTTCATCTCTCTTCTCCTCCCTTCTTTCCTTTCTGGGTTGTTATGAGAGAAACTGGCTGCCACGAGCTGCCCTATGGCGAGGCCCATGTGGCAGGAAATTGAGGGTGCCCTGTAACAACTGCCTGTGAGGAACTGAGGTCCTCAGCCCAACAGCTACAGAAAACGGAATGCTGCCAGCAACTACTCGAGCGAGCTGGAAGCAGACTGCACCCCCCACCCTGGTCGAGCCAGGAGATGACTGCAGTCCTGGCAGGTGCCTTGATTGCAATCTGTGAGGGATTCAGAGCCAGACAGCCCAGCGACGAATTGCTGGATTTCTGACCCCTGGAAATAATGAATGTATGTTCTAAGCTGCTCCATGTTGGGCTGGTCTGTCCCACAGCAATGGATAATGGACACACTCACCCACTCATCCTTCCTGCCCTTCCTCTTGTCACAACGCATAGAGCTTCCCCTGCAGTTCACTGTCTGTGGGAGAGGTCCCTTCCCTCTCAGTTCCCCTGGGCTAACTGTGTCCCTCCAGCCCCCAAAGCAAGCTTCTTTTCTTTCTTTCTTTTTTTTTTAATAATTATTTTACTTAACTTTATTTATTCACTAACCAGAGAGGGATCAGAGCAAGAGAGAGAGAGAGAACGGGAAACGAGAAAGCAAGCTACCAGGTCCAGGACCCAAACTGCCGTTGACCATGTGGGAGGCCAGCGTCCTTAACTGCCACACCACCTGCTGGCCCCAAAGCAAGCTTCTTTTCTGAGCTCTTGCCTGGTTCGCAGGCTCTTGCTGCTTTTTCATCACGCTGAGGCACTTGACCCTTTGTCCGCCTCGTGTATAAGCTGTGAGGACAGGAACTTGCTAGGCTCAGCCATTGCTTTATCCTCTCCCCCTGTGACCAACCTCTGAACAAGCAGGCCCTCGATAACTACGTGGGGAAGAGAGTGTTATGAATGACAGTCACTTGGAGTGGTGGTCAGCGTTACCGTATCACCTGCTCTAAGCCTTATATGTGAGAATCTGATTAAAGACAAAAACCGAGTAATTTGCTAAAATCAATGGGCTTTGCAGGCTTTTTTACATTTTGTTTGGTGTTGTTGCTATTTTGTCTTCTACTAAATTCTCATTCTGTCCCCAAATGAATATATTGTCTTCCCTTCCTTTTCTTTTAGAATGAGACCTCCCTGATCCCATAAAGCTCCTCTATGCACATTTTTTAAAGGGTGCCTTTTCCTCTTAGTGGAAACGACCCTGCGTGTAGTTTGCCAAGCAGGGTAACAGGCTGGAGTTCGGGCCCCACAGCCTCCCACGGCCAGTGCTCTTGTGCAGTGAACACCTGCACATCCTTCCATTGCCACCCCGCTCAGCCTTCACAGGGATGCCCACTGGCAGGCAGGACTCCCTTGCCTCTCTGAGGAAGGTCAAGGGTCAAGAAGAATTGAATTAAGCTAGATCATCCAAGATGATGAGAGATGGAGGACGATGCTGAGCATTGAAAGACGAATCTAAATCTGGCTATGATGCCGACCTGGGACCAGGAGGCTGGCAGTCTGGGGACACATCTCTAGCCCCCGCAGAGCGCTGGACAGCAATGGTCTGCGAGGAGCACAAGAGAACAAGGCTCCTCTTCGCGCTTGGATGACTGCTGATGGAGGTAAGGGCGGAAGTCACGGCAGTGCTAGCAAGTGAATGGGAGCCAAGATGTCGTGGACCCAACAAAGACTAACTGAGAACAATAAATAATGAGGGGCCAGCAAGTAGCATGCTGGCTAAGGGTATTGGACTCCCATAGGGCTGACTGCGGTTCAAGTCCCAGACCTGGCAGCTTGCGTTCTCTTGCCCTCTTTCTCCCCCTCTCTCTCTCTCTCTCTCACTCTTGCTCTGTCCATCTCTGGCCAAATTAAAACAGATAAATAAAGTTAAATAAAATAAAGAAAGGAAACGATAAATAATGAGAACGTACTCGCACCGTGCAGCGTATTATAGCGTCTCATCTTATATTTTCCTCCCTTGCACCTCCGCTGTGGCTCTGC